GTCCCCTTGCAGTTCAGTGCACGTGCACGACCTGACTCAGGTTGCACTGGTGCAACAATCCCGCTCCAGTGGACCTATGTCTCCAGGCCATTTAGGGTACAAGAATAATTCGGTCACAAACTGCAGGGTCTACAGTTTGTGGACCACCTGTTTCTATGTCTCCACTCAGTTCAGGACTCATACAGGAACCAGATTCAGCCAAGATGGGTAGCAGTCACAGACTTCCCCAGCCTTCGCCTCGCTGGAGGGTCTGGGCGAAGGCAAAGCACAGACTTGAATCCACTGGTCCTGCAACTCCTGGAGTACTTGAGCTCTTGGCATAGGGTGCGTGGGGCTCAGAGAGTGTGCTTACCTCGCTTAAAGAGCCTGCTCGCCTGTCCCCCAGCTAGAGAAGTCCCCTGGGCCTCTCAGCCCCAATCTCCTCTCTGCCACCACAGCGACTCAGTCTGTAATGTCCTTGGGGTCTTTGTTCGAGAGTTCTGCACTCAGGGATCAGATGGGAGGTACCTGGCCCTCTCCGCGTGTTTCAGTTGGGAATCGTGGTGGTGTGCGTCCAGCACAGACTCAACCCCACGAGCCCTGCTCGCGGTCTTGGTGCAAGGCGCACGCGGCTGGGGGAGCCTGCTCGGCCGGCTCAGAGAGCCTGCTCGCCACGCTCGTGCCCTGGGTCTCTATGCCGTGGCCCCTCAGTCTGTAATGTCTGTGGGGTCTTTGTTCACGAGTTCTACCCTCAGGGATCAGATGGGAGGTACCTGGCCCTCTCTGCGTGTTTCAGCTGGGAATCGTGGTGGTGTGTATCCAGCACAGGCTCGAACCCATGAGCCCTGCTGCTCCCGGGGTGCTCGCTGTCTCCACGCAAGGTGCGCGCAGCTGGGGGAGCCTGTTCGGCCGGCTCAGAGCTCTGTGTTCTTCTTGCAGATTTTCACCACAACCTGTGCCTTTTCCTTGCCCTGGAGACGAATTCTGTGCTGTTGTCTGTGGGGTGAGTCTCTGAGACAGTCTTCAGCTTTTCCATGGGAAGAAGAGGGTAGGAGGGAAGTTCCTGGATGATCATAGAGCAGAGAGGAGTCCTCAAGCCAACAGACACCCATGGGCATGCACCCAGAACACACTTCACCTCCATTCAGAGTGGCACAAGATTGGGAGTATGCCTGCTTCAGGAGAGTGCACAGATCAGTGCGGTGAGACTGAATAGTGCATTTCATTGACTGAGCTATCTAGAACTATTACATGGCCAATTAGTAAACAGTATCACAGAATATCTTATGATATGAATTACTCTTAGCAGTGTATTAATAAGTAAAATAATTAAGAAATTACAAGGAGCCTGAAGCTTTAAAAATAATGTTGACAATTAAAATCAAACTAATACCTCCTATGAATGTACATGGTTAAAACCAAAGTATATAAAAAGGAAATATTCCAGGAAATCATCCTCTGTATAGAGACAGCACTGAGGTGAGAGAAGACAGTGAGGTGGACAAGGTTGGCTGAAGGTCATGGTCAAGGTCCTGGCTGTGGTTGGTATGATGGTTCTGTAGACTTCCATTGTGTCATTAAGTAATTCCCTACCTACCTACCACACCAGGCCACACCTGGAGAGTGTCTTAAGACATAATCATGGACCTGTTGATGTAAGGAGACTGCAGGCACTAGCATCCTAGTGCCTCACCAGCATCCTAGTCCTTGCTGCAAGAGATCTCCACAAGGAAGGAGAACAGTTTAGACAGGGTAGGTGAGCGAATCTGAAAGCTGCACCCTTAGAGTCTGAATGTCCAATGGACCCCTCTAACCTCGGTTGCTCCCAGTCTGAGTAGAGAGTGCACCTGTGTGACTCCTGCAGATCATTAGCACTGCAGACTCTCCCTGGACACAGGAAGAGGGCAACAGATTTTCGTGATACAGTGATTCACAACTGACCACCATTGTATCTGAACTGCACCACTAGAGCTCATGTCTCTCCTTGGGGATGATTAAGATCTTTTGAACAGCAAGCGAGGAAAGTGTGAACACTCCCTGAGATATCTTCTGTCTTATAAGGTGAAATCTTCTAAGAAGGGCTCAGTGTATTTTATTCTACATCTTTGTACAGACTGGGCCTGTGGGTCAGAGAAGTTCTGATGGAATGATCAGTGCAGTGATTACCCAGAGGAGCTTGTGTCTACCAGCACCATGCAGTGTGTGACATGTGGGAGGACATGCCTAAGATATTACTGAAAAAGGGGGCATTTTCTCTTCAATGCTTTCCTTTTTCTAGCTGAAATCTACTTCACCTTGACTTTAGTCTTAGCTGTCCTCCTCCTGTACTGACAGGTAGTGGGACTGAAGCCTGAGGATTGCATTTTTGACCCAAAGACAATAGATGCCACACTGGGAAAATACTGCAGGTGTACACACTCCTGTGCAAGCCAAGTTTATAGGGCAAAGGGCTGCAGCCAAACTGGAGCTTTACTGAAAGGAGTGAGCAGTTTGTTGAGGGCAAGCAAGGCAGCCCTCTGAGAAACTAAGACAGGAGGACCCAAAGTTGAAACTGATCTTGGAAGTTAGTGACATAGGTAGGCACTGATTCAAACATAAAAAATAAAAACTGCTGGAGATTTAGCTTAGTGTGAGAGCTGGTGTTCATTTCCCAGTACTAAAAGAATTCTTCTGGTTGGACCCTTGCACCACTGGGTGGTCACAGTCAACTTCTGGGCTTTCTTTGTGTAGGCTTCATTCTCAAGTA